AAGAAGGTTCCTAATGCCTGGTGCTGATGTTTTTGTTAGATGCTCTATGGCTCTTGGGGGACCCCTGTCAGCCCAAGTGATGTAACGTCATTGTGTGTGTGTGTGTGTGTGTGTGTGTGTGTGTGTGTGTGTGTGCCACACAGAGACATCATTTGCCTAGTTGCATCATCCAACTAGGATGAGCTTTTTTTTTTTTTCCTTTAAGTAGCTGGGTTGGCGAATGACAGCACTTTTAAAATGGAGGTTGGCACAGAATATGGCCCACGGAATCAACTAACCAGGGCGCATAGGAGCTCACAGAGACTGAACCAACAATCAGGGAGCCTGCATGGGTCTGACCTAGGTCATCTGCATATATGTCATGGTTAAGTAGCTTGGTGTTCTTGTGGGACTCCTAACAAAGGGAGCAGGGGCTGTCTCTGACTCTTTTGCCTGCTTTTGGGACCCTTCTCCTCCTACTGGGTTGCCTCATCCAGCTTTGATATGAAGGTATGTGGCTAGTCTTATTGTAATGCTATGTTTGGTGGACATCCCTGGGGGGGGGGGCTGCTCTTTTCTGAAGGGGAATGGAGGAGGAGTGGATCTGGGGGAGAGGGGAGGTGGGGGTGGGAGCTAGGAGGAGAGGAGGGAGGGGAAAATGCAGTCAGGATGTAATAGACAGGAAAAATTAAAATATAAAATAAAAATAAAATCAAGGTTAGGAATATATCGTGTAAAACTTAATTTTCTAACAGGCAGAGTGAATGGAAACATTTTAGAGAATGCCTGGGAACTGAAACAATGCCTTCTACATAGGAGCATTCCTACACTCTCCCTGTATCTCCAGAGGAGCTGACTTCCAGGATGGCTGACCAGTGCTAGAAAATCAATCCCTACAAACATGCAGTTACAGAAAAAAGTAACATGAAATTGCATGCTTTTGAGAAAGCTGAAAGTACTTCTTAACCTCCCTTTGAGAGTTTCAGGCAGTTTGAATCCTTACTATTTCTACACCGCACACCCAAACCGCCAATTCTCCTGGAGGAGGGGTGCAAACCAAAACCACATTTGCCCAGACACCCTGCAGGCAATTGCTGGGTAAAGGTCCCTGGCTTCTGATGGAGGACATTATATCACTCAGCGGCAAAAAGCACCATGCAGACTTGAGACCCTGGCTTCTGAGTCTGGTGTCATCATTTCATCTTATCCATCCCAAATCAAAGCCATTTGTTTATAGAAAAAGGTTCACAGACACTCACACCAAAGCTCATTGTCCAAGTCAACACATCTTGCAAACTCATCCATCTCCATGCTTAGTTGGCTATTGAATTAGTTATTATGCTCATTGTTGTGGCCAGATGGATACCTAACAAAAAGCAACTGAAGGAAAGGTTCACTTTGTCACCGGTAGGAGTGTCCATGACATTGTGATACGACGCTGTCATCCACAAATATGTCGGGCCATATTCATAGCTGTGCTAGGACACTAGGCTGGTTACCGCTGAAGTCTAAGAAGGATACAGTCTCTCATCGGGGAGAAGGCATGGAGATAGCAAGAGCGTAGTGCAGCTGGCCACAGTCCACCTGCAGACAAGAGGTGAGATCAGATGATCCAACCTCAAGGCTGATTCCCAGTGATCTACTTCCTCCTGCCTCCACCTTCGGAAGGCTGTCTGACCTTTCCAAACAGGGCGGCTATCTAGAGACAAAGGCTTCAAACACACGAGCGTCTGGAGGGCATTTCTCATTCAGACTACACTTGCCGCCATAACGTGTTCTATTGCAGATGACAGCAGAGTCTGATGATGGGACCCAGGCAAGCTACTAGGCCTCAGTAAGCAGCCCTCAGGCTCCGGATCTGCACACAGTCATGGGGGTCTTCCTCCTAATGCTTTCAGCCATGCTTCTCATCACTGGAGCAAAATGCTTGAAAGAATCAATGTGGGGAAAAGAAAGGCTTGTATTGGCTCAGTTTTGAGGGGGGCTGCGGAGATCTCTCAGGCAGCAAAGTGCACATTATGCAAGCACCAAAGGGCCTGAATTTGATGCCCAGGACACATACTTTAAACAAATCCATATGTGGTGGTACATGCTTATAATTCTTCGGGCAAGATGGGTGGTTCCTGGGAGACAATATCTGAGGTTGATCTCTGGTCTCCACATGTACACACACACACACACAAACACACACACACACACACACACACACACACACACACACACAGGAGAGGGGGGCTGAGCACGGGGCTGGAAGCTCAATCCATGGTCAGAGACCTGTGGTGATACAACAACATATTATGGTAGATGCATATGAAGAAGTAGGGCCCCTCATCCATAGCCAAGAGAGAGAGACACAGAGAGAGAGAGAGAGAGAGACAGAGTCAGAGACAGAGAGAGAGAGAGAGAGAAACTAGAGTGCCACTGTCCCCTTTAAGAACACACATGCTGTGACCTGAGACCTCCTCCTGAACCCCACCTCCCCGCAGCACCATGCTGGGGACCAAGCTTTTTCTACACAGGACTTTCCAGGGCACACTATATCTAAACTTCAGAAATGGAACTAACCGAGCTGGCACACGGTAGCCATCTGCACAGTGTCTGACTTCCGGGAAGGCCCTTACATGCTCAGCTGTTAAAACTGTTAATACTTTGAGACAAGGGCTTATGTAGCCCCAGGTGGTATCAAACTCACAACGGAGCTGAGGGTGACTGGACCCCCTGATCCCCATGCCTCCGCCACCCAAGTGCTAGGGTTACAAGTGTGTACCACTGCAGCCAGTGTATGCAGTGCTGGGTGGAGTCCAGGGCTTCACGCCTGCTGAGGCATCTGTCAACAGTGACACATCCCCAGCCTTGTTATCATTATTATGAGGGTTGCTTAACTGTAGTGAACCCTCAGCTTTAAAAAAAAAAAAAATCCTATAATCATCAGGGATGCCCTACTTTGACAGCTCCTCTGGGATTGGATAAGACGCTTGCACTCCTTGAGGTGAGCTCTGTAGTCTTTCCAGAGAGCTTCTTTGTCTGTGTGGTGAGTACACATGCACATGTGTGCTTGCGTGTGGGGAAGCCGGAGCTCAATATCAAATGTCTTCCTCAACTACCTCTCCATATTAGTCTTTAAGTCGGCGTCTCTCTCTGAGCCTGGATTAGGATAGGCCAGCTGGGCAGTAAGCTCCAGGGATCTCCCCGTCTCTATCTCCCAGCACTAGGATGATAAGCCTGTGTTACCATCCCTGGCTCTTTTACGTGTGCTCTGGGGAATCTTAACTCTGGTCCTCATGGTTGCAGGGCAAACACTTTGCCCACTGAGCCGTCTCCCAGCGCCCACCCCACCTCCAACCAGCTCTTCGATGCCAACTTGCCCTGAGGGCAAAGTGCTTCCTGGATACACTGTCAGTGCCTCTACCTGCTCTTTAAACGCAGTGTACCCCTAAAATCGGGGTCCCTACAATAGAGACCGGGAGTACTCCCTTTGAAATGTTCTGTATTCAGAGAATTCTAGGATTTAATAAACTCACAGTTGAGAGCCGTCTCTCTCTCTGGCCACTTACTAGGTAATAACAGAGATAACATCTGGATGTGTGGTATGTGGTCCTAGCATGAGACAGATGGTTTGAACAATAATAAATGAAAGAAAAACCTTGTCGTCTAGTATAGCGTAGGAGCTAATCTAAAAGTAGGCCTTGTCATTGGGACGATGACTTGGTCAGTAAAAACACTTGCCATGAAGCATGAGGACCTGAGTCTGATGCCCAGAACCCATATAGAAAAAGCTGGGTGTGGGGGCGGGAGAGATGGTTAAGAGTATACATATACTGCTCTTATGAAAGTCTTGAATTTAGCTCCCAACACCTCTATAAGGCAGCTCACAACCACCCATAACTCCAGCTCCAGGGGAATCCAGTGGCCTTTGCTAAGGATACTGCCCGCACACATACACATACATTGCACATACACACATACACAGAGAGAGCGAGAGACAGAAACAGAGACAGACAGACGGATAGAGACAGAGAGAGACTTTGATTTTAATAGCTCTTTATTCATGGATACAGCAACTAAAATAGCTGTCAGAACAATTTTGTCCAAAGTGAAACGGTGTCTGTCACATTCACCGTAGATTCTGTGTGACCTCCATGCAGTCACCCAAAAGGACTCCCAGGATAGCGCCAACCTGAGAGTTCTTACACCCCGAGCCATCTCCTAGCTCAGGGGACAAGAACCCTTTCTGTGGGAAGAGTTAAGGTAAAAACTATGCACTCAGATCTGGGCTCAGAGTGATGGCTGGACTACGTACGGACCGCACGTGCTAACCCCCCTTCTCCGGGCCTGTGTTGCAGGGATCATGTACCGGAAGTCGTGTGCGTCCTCAGCAGCCTGTCTCATCGCCTCGGCTGGGTACCAGTCCTTCTGCTCCCCTGGGAAACTGAACTCCGTGTGCATCAGCTGCTGCAACACTCCTCTCTGCAACGGGCCGAGGCCCAAGAAAAGAGGCAGCTCCGCCTCGGCCGTCAGGCCAGGGCTTCTCACCACCGCCCTGCTTTTCAACTTAGCCCTCTGCCTGGCACACTGCTGAAGCTAAAGGAGACGCCAGCCCCTGCTGCATCATCTGTCTGGCCCGCACTCTCACCTCCCCGAGTCTCTTCTGGGTGTCCTTTTATTCTGAGTAGACAAAGGGGTCTTTTTGTTCCCGTTCAAGTAACGCGAGATTGCCATGCAGGAACACTTTGTAAGCTCTGAAGATATTCAGTCTGAATTTCCGTGTGTAGGTGAAGAAAAAGCATAGCGCGGAAAGCCCAGATCTTCCCGTCCCAATCCGTGTAGCCACCGCCAAGGCCAGCCTGGAAGAATCAGCCCTTAGAAGTCATTGAGCTATGCATCTGCCCTTCCCAAAGCCTCGAGCTTCCATTCTGTCCCTGCTAGGAGTCACAGTCTATTGGGGGACGGCTGTGTGAAGGTGACTTCGCTTTTATGGGAGGGAAGAGCCAGTTTCTGCTCAAGGCTTCGGAACTTGACATTCACACTTCTTGCTCCTGTAAACCATTTTCTGTCGTGGCATCAGCTGGTTTGGTCTCTGGGTCAGTCTGTGGTGACTCAAGACTCAAAGGCTGGAGCTTAGCCTCTCCGGGCCTGGCCTCGGTCTGAAAAGTGCTTAAGAAGACCTTGTTAGTTCTCCGGGAGGAAGAGTTTCTCTGGGAGGAAGCGTTCCGCCGGGAGGCTAGGAAGATGAGGGGGCTGCGGGCTGAGCTGGTGCTGGCCTTGGCGGAGCTGAAGTGGGCACGCAGGCGTTTCTCCTGGTTGGCGTGCTGCAGGGTCAGCCGGCAGCACAGCACCTGCCAGAACACCTTCCGGAACTGCTGAGAGGATACGTTGTAGAGGAGAGGGTTGACCACGGAGCTGAGGTAGAAGAAGGTGTTGGAGAAGGGGAGAAGGATCATGTAGGCCCTGAAGTACGGCATGGTCCATTCATCCTTGGGTTTGGCTGCAGCCATGATCCGCCGCACCTGATTTGGCATCCAGCACACGGCCAGTGTCACCACGATCAGTCCTGGGCAGGCAAGAAACAGGACAGAAAAAGAGATGGGGGAGAACATGAGAGAGAACAGCATGAGAACAAAAATAAATAAATAAAACCCATAAAATATTCAGCCCTTGGTTCTGTTGCTTACTGGCCAGGAAACGGTACCAATTTTTCAGCGCTGTGCTTGACGGCTTCTTTTTGCCACTGGCAAAGGAGAATTTAATGCGGCTTCAAGCTCAGGGGACTTGGCTATGTTAAAGAGCGTTAAATGCTTTCGACAGTGTATTTATACCTGTGGGTGCCCGTTAATTTTCAAAATGTTTTCATTGTTGCGCGTGTATCCAGAAAATATCTCATGTTGGCCATAAATCTGGTTTTGTCTTTTTGTTTCGGGGTGCGCCCATAAGCTATAGCCATACTAGGTGAAATGGTATTGTTTTGTAAACAGTGACTGAACGAAGAAGACCCAGTGACATTCTTAAGTCAAATGGAGGTTGCTTCTCTTTGGTTCAACAAATATATTTTATGACAATGAGTTTGCATCCAATTTCAGGAGAAGCCAAATCAGGGACAGATTATTATAGAGAAGTACCACTCAGTCCCCCTCTTTGTGCATGAAACATTTGGATGTCCTGTGCTTCAGTTCTGCCTTACATAACCACAGCCACTTCTACAGTTCTGACAAACTGAAATCGCAAAACAAGACATTTTACATAGACATATATATGTAGATGAAGTAATATATAAATATATGTCCCAAAAGATATACACACCTCTAGCCATGATACTTCTATCTATTTCAGTAAAGCATTTTCGGAACCAATGCCCCTCCTACCTTCACATGGGAAAACAAATTATCCCGAACACCCAAATCTCTGAAACTCATTTTGTGTACAGACAGGGGCACACCCTCTGCCTTTGTAGCACTGAGCTGTAGTGTGGATGGCCAGGAGTGAGCAGGTCCTATGGAAGAGGGTGGTCCTCAGCTCAGCCCCTTCCAGACACTCATTTGGATGCCCCACGCTTTCGTTCTGGCTTACATGATCACTGACTCTTCTATTCTCTGACAAACACCTAGAATCACAAGATGGCGAGACTTTACCAACAAAACAAGAAGAAAAATAAGCCTTGGGAATCTTTTGGGCTTTCTTTTTTCTTAGGAAGCTGAGCAGTCAGAGCAAAAATTCCCATAAGAGGGGCTGATATCTTAAAGCAAGAATCTGATGGGACCAGTGAGATGGATGGTCAGCAGTTAGGACCTAAGTGCTGTTCCGAGTATCCACATCAGGCAGATCACAATGGCCCATCACTCCAGCTGCAGGGAATCTGACACCTGCCAGCCACCTCAGTCCTGGGCACACCCCTCCCCACACATACAAAATTAAACGTAAATTTTTTTTTAAATTTTGCGTTTTACAAGTGTTTCTTCCCACTCTGACACCAATTTTCTCAGAAAAACTACGGAGAAGTAACAATTGGTAATCACTGTTTCTTGCCTAGAGTAGATGGTAAATTGATCATTAGTTAATGGTCCAGGGCATGCAGACATGTTCATGAGCCCAAGGTTACCCCTGTGGCTGATGGAGGAGGAGACCTTGACCATCCCTAACTCAGCTGCCCCCAAAGACAAACCCTCCAAACGAAGCCATCTGTCAGCAGGGAGGGCCTGGGAAACTCTGGTCCTTTGTGAATTTCTAAGGATTCCTTCTGCCAGGGCCCTGAGATAAAAACCAATCTGCTTGTTTCTTCCCTTTGAATTTGCTTTCCTGAGGACGGTCAGTAAATCTAAGAATAAAATAGGCAACGCAACATATTGATCCGATGAAAGAGCAAAATAAATAAATAATACTATCTCGAGTCAAGAGCAGATTCCAAATCACCTTGTTACCACTGCTGCATAAAAACAGCAAAAACAGACACTTCCTGATTTAAAAAAACAAAAATACACTTGTACAGGAAACTGGGACTTTGAGGAGGTCCCAGCCACCCGAGCCAGATTGGTTTTGAAGTTGTATAGTTCTGAGTTCAGTATTGATTATGAAGGAGAACAGATGCCTGACTATATGAGGAAGCTACACGTTTTCACAAAGCTTCATGTTTGTTTGTGTTTTTTGTTTGTTTGTTTCTGTCATTGAGTTTTGCCGAACAAGTCCAGCCATGATCTGAGGATGTGTTTGTCAGAACATGGAAATGGAGCACACAGCTTTCTGTGCGCGCTCTGCGACATGGTGGGAAGTTGCTCTCTGCGGATCTAGAAAGCTGACTAGGAGCTCCTTGTACCTCCCACAGGCCGAACATGGCACAGCTCTGAAAGCCAGCCTGTAAAAGAGATGAGAGAAGGCAGGGTGGGAAGGGGAGAGGTGTTGGGAAGGAAGTGGAGGCACATCAGGACGGAGGGGGAGAGATGTTGGGGAAACAGGGGAGAGGTTTTGGGGAGAAGGAGGAGGAGGAGGAGGAGGAGGAGGAGGAGGAGGAGAAGTGTCCTAAATCTCTTTCCACAGTGCATTCCCTCTCTGTTCTCCTCATCACCTGCTTACACATCTTTTCGTTAGCTTCCTGCATGCGCTTGCTCAGCCCCAACCATCCTTCATCATCATCCCATTGAAAGGAGATTTTAGTTTAGTTTTGTTTTATTTTTTAAGAAGAAGAAAAGAAAGAGGAGAAGAAAGAGGAAGAGCAGAGGGAGGGGAAAGAAACCCAGTGTCCAGGTAAACGAAAAGGGATGGGCCAGACTGTGATCCAGAGCTTGCTTTGTAGTTTCAGCCAGGATTTATGAAATTGAACTGAGATAGCAAACGACAGCTGGGTCCGTTTGAATGAGTAGCAGCAAATGGGAGAAGAGGTCAGAATTCCTCCATGAGAAGGAGCCTGGTAAGGAAGCTAGGCTTTCTGGCTGTGGAAGTAGGCCGGTAGGACCGTGAGTTCAGACTTGGAGGAAGAAAGACAGAGTGTGAATAGAAATGGATGGGTTCTAACCAGTACAGACAAGCAGGTCTAGATGTAGACCATGGAGCTGGGAAACTAGCTTCCTCCACTCCAGCTTCTGTGCTGGGCACTTACTCCTCACATGGGGTTCTCATCTCCTGACAACCCAGAGAGGTCAACGCAGTCAGGAGCGTCACTTAACCTGCCCATCTCCCAACCCTGTGATGCAGGATCCCTTGTCCTCTCAAGATGCAACACCGCCAATGTCTCCTATTTTCAGTTTGTTAAAGAAACACAGGCAATGGGGCTACAGAGGTGGCTTAGCTGTTAAAGTGCCTGCCTCCCAAGAGTTCAGGTCTCTGGTACCCACATGGATGCCGGATGGACAGGATGAAGAGCCGACCCGGAGTGCCAGCCTTGGAATGTGGACACTAGGGCTTCCCAGAGCAACATGGGTCGTAAGACTAGCCAGATCGGTGGGCTCTGGGTTTGACTGAGAGGCCTTGCTTCAGAGAATAAGGTGGAAGAGTTAATAAAGATCAAGAACTGGACATCAACTTTAGGCCCTCACAGGCGCACACATATGCCCTCACACAGGTTTCAACATACCTATGCAAACATGCATGCATGTACATGCACATACCACACACAAAGAGATAGTCATAAAAATGGAAGGAAAAAAAACAGGCAAGAAAGAAGTCATTAACTGTGACCCACATATAATGTCACTCTACCCACTGAAATAACAGAAGCCATACAACTAATTTAAAGTTTTTCAAGCAGATTAAAAATGACATCAGTGACAACACATTTTGATTAATTAATTTATTTTTTTCATTTATTTTATATACCAGCCATAGTTTCCCCTCCCTCCTCTCCTCTAATTCCCCCCCACCTCCTGACTACCCCCATCCACTCCTCCTCCATTCAGAAAGGGGCAGGTCTTCCATGGAAGCCAACGAAGCAGGACACATTGAGTTGACTCAGGACCAAGCTCCTCCCCCTGCATCAAGGTTGGGGAAGGTAACCCAGCATGGGGATTGGGCTCCCAAAAGCCAGCTCAAGTGCCAGGGACAAGTCCTGATCCCACTGCTAGGAGCCCCACAAACAGAACAAGCTACACAACTGAGTGACAACAATGTTTATAATGCTACTTAACTCACACACATATAACTGGATTTCTTATGCAAGTAAAATATGGAATCACTATGAAAATATCATTGGTGAGATTTTTTTTTTATTCTTCACTCACCCTTGCCCCTTACTAACTCCCTAACATGTACACAGTCAGCACCAAGGACCCTCCTGAGTACCCTGCATTTGCAACACTACCAAGCATTGCTGAATTGGATTTCTGAATGTGTATCCCTGACTACAGTGTATGCTGTTTTGCCAGCCTCTCACTAACCTTCCGTAAAAGTGTTGGTCACATTATTCAACGTCTACATTGTTCTGAAAGTACAAAAATGTCTTCTGCATGTCCCACCCCAAACTCTGACTCTCGGGAACACACAAGTCATGCCAACCGCCTGGCGGGGCTGTTGACATATCCTTCCCCCACCTCAACTGGAGGCGAGAAAAATGGCTTCCACTCTGTGTTTAAAATGATAACTTTGTTCTAGGAAAATGGAAATCTGGGTCTACAAGGTGCCACCAATGGCAGTCTGAGTCATGTGCCCACGGGCAGTGTGAGAGTTCAGTTAGCCTTCCTGGAACAGGAAGCCAACCAGCCCCTCTGTGCAAAATTGATCAATTCACAATGACACGCAATTGTTCATTGTTACATTTGAAAAAAAAAATTCGTCCTTTTCCACAATACACTGTTGAGACTAAATACCATACCTACCATGTCCAGAGGTAACTTCCTATTTTGGCTGTTTGAAATTAATTCAACTCCAGTCCCAGCTACTCTATAGCTAACACAATGCTTTCAAGTCTTATTCATGGCTTAATGGAGTGCATTAAAGATTTGACTAAATTTATGTTTGGCTGCAATCAATTTAGACTTGTGTATTACATTTGGGGGAAAAGAATCTATACTGCTTTGGTCTGTGTGGTGCAGCATGGAGCCCATGTTTAAATAGTGTGAGTGTGAACTTGAATGAAGATTGGCGAACGGAACCCTCTCACGCAGAGTGGGTAAACTGTCTTCACCGGATTATTAATGGGTCGGTATTATACCCCGGACAGCACTGTGCTTCGGATTTTGAAATACCTTCACATCTTATCTGCTTCTCCACATAAAGCACGTCTGGTTTTGCTCCTCCATCACCACAATAAAGTGACAAGACCCATTAGACAACGACTCACACACATCCGTGGAGAACGATGTTTACAAACCAGATGCAGAGCTGGAGAAACGGCTCAGTGGATAAGGCACTTGCTGCACAGAGTGTGGGGACTCGAGTTCTTCTTCAGAACCCACATAAAGCTAGATGTCATAGCGTGTGCGTGTGCGTTCCTACTGCAGCACAGGAGGTGGAGATGGGAGCATCCCTGGAACCTCCCAGGCCAGCTAGTCTGGTTCGTGCAGCAGCGAGATAGAAAAAAAATCAAAAAAAAAAAAAAAAAAAAAAAAACAAGGTGGAAGGCAAGGACCAAAGCCCCCGAGGTTGTCCTCTGACCTCCACGTGCAATGTGTTCCCTGGCGCTGGCACACATGAACATTGTCCTAGTTTGCTTTCTGTGTTGCTGTGATAAACACGATCAAAAGCAACTCGAGGAAGAAAGAGATTATTTCATCTTAAAGGCTAGAGTCCGTCATCAAAGGGAGCCAAGGCAGGAACTTATAGCAGAAACCACGGAGGAAAGCTGTTTATGGATTTGCTCCCAGCTCTGCGTTCAGTTATCTTATATAACACACACACACACACACACACACACACACACACACACACACACACACACACACACAATATCTTATTCATCTTTGTTACTCCCAAAGATGACAGGAGAATGACCACCGACCCAAATCATCACCGCAAAATTAAAGCAAGCAATTAATTAAAGTGAGCTTTCTTATTCATGTACACGAGCTGCCTCCCCAATAAGTCAGGATTCAGAGATCAGCATGGGATGTAAGGAAGACAAGGTTTTTATAGCTCAGAAATAGGGGGTTTCAAATGGGGTATTTAGCAGACAAAGCAGGCAGGACTACAGGAGTGGAAGATAAGCATAACAAGTTAGCCACAATGACCTCCTGAAACAAAGACATGATTGCAAGGTGGTTGTAACATGGTAGCCATAGCGACCTTTTGAAACAAAGGTAGGGTTGCAAGATGGTTATGACAGCTTCTTGAAACAAAGATACAGTTGCCATTTCCTGGAATAGGCAGTACAGAACCATTTGTAGTTACCATTACAGGTGGGGCATAGCCCAATCCTAAAGAAACAGATTTAATCACAAACAGGAATGAACCTAGTTTGTCTTTACTATAAGATGACTTTCAAGCCTAAGATGGAGGCAGTCTGGTTCATCAGGCCAGCTGCCTCAGGATGGTACTACCCACAGTGGGCTGGGCCCTCCTACATCAAGTATCAATCAATAAAATCTTCCACAGACATGCCAACAGGCCAGCCTGATGGAAGCAATTCTTCAGTGGAGGTGTCTCTAAGTGTGTGTCAAATTGACAGCTGAATCTATGACAGTCACGCACACACAAAAATTAAAGAAACTCTCACGCTAAAAACAGAAGCAATGCAGACATCTAACTCCACACTCTGGGTGTGGTGGCATGCATTTGTAATCCCAGCATTGAGGAGATGGTGACATCTCCACAGCTCTGGGGGCAGATGACTTGGTTTAGTTTTTACAGATTCATTGGATCTGTAGCCCTGGACATGGTGGTATTGACTTACCTAGGACTATGCTCTCCTTTCTCCCCTCTGACCTATAAGGTGAAAGTCATTATCAAGTATATCCCTGTGGTCATCTCAGAGTCTCAGGAGAGAACATCTCCTGTCACAAATGAGGACACTAAGCCCAAGTGGTTTGTCCAATATCTCAGGCCCAGAGCACAAGACTCCCTATACCATACTCATAACATTGAGGAACCCTACCAATGGAGGCTTTTGTGCTATTGCAGTTTGTGGGGGAGAGTCCAAATTTAGGCTCAAGTGTTGACTTGTCAACATGGGATGTGGTGAAAGAGACATCTATACAATTGATCATAGCCCATGTTAAAACTCAGTCCCCCTCAAAGAAGCATTTATTGAAATTCTTAGGTGCATGGTTTCTACCTAAAGGAACATGAAACTACAACCTGGGACCACCAAGAGTGTTCAGGATACATTGTGACTTTGGAGCATGTGGTGACTTGGCCTATGCATCCATCTGCCATCTATTACCTACCTATTCCTCTGTTCATTCACTTATCCATCTGTCATCAGCCTATCTATCATCTGTCATTTATCTATGTATACCTGTATCTATCATCTATATATCTATCATTTATTATTTATTATCATTTATCTATCTTCCAGTCAGCCAGCTATCTATCAACTATCAATTTGTTCTTCTGACCATCCATTTTTCTAACATTGGACTATCTATTATCTATCTATCTACCTACCTATCAAGCATCTATTCATCTATTATCTATCCCTCATTTATCATTCATCTGCCTCTTCATTCACCCATCTATCATATATCATATCTTTTCATCTGTCCACCCAATTTTCCATTCATCTATTATCTGTCATCTAGCTAGCTACCTAGCTATTATTGATTTCTCACTTGTCTGTCTACCTATTTATCTGTCCATCTATCTTACATTAGTTCTTATAGAAAAATTGTTATTAAGCCAGGTTTGGTGGCATCATTTGTAATACCAGCACTAAGGAAGTGGAGATAAGTGGATCCCTGGAGCTTGTTGGCCAGCCAGCCTAGCCTATTTGGGCCAATTAGAGACCTCAGCTTAAACCAAAAGTCTGGTGCCTGAAGAATAATATCCATGGTTGTCTTCTGGTCTCTGCATGCATGTGCATATATATTTATACTGAGACAAATACACACAAATACACAGAAGGGTGTTATTTACTAGTATTAACTGAGTAAAAAAGGTCTGTATACTTATATCTATCCTCAGAAAGGTGGTTTGTGTGATTTGAACAAATCCTAAAGAGTTCCTTTCCTACCTGTGTCAGAGGTCCACTTTACTGAGCTACAGGAACCTTGTGGGTGCAGTGGGCAGGCTGAGGGCTGTGGGATTTCTTAGTTACTATGGTCATTTTGCCTCTTTCCTACCCACTCCTACTTTCTAATTTAACTCTGGTTACAGTGCACAGGAATAAATATTTCATTATTTCTGTTGGTTTGTTTGTTTCCCCGTTTATACTCCCTGGAGTGCCCTTATTCATGCAGGAGACACTGCTTGATTGACAGTGTTCTATTGTGGACACTGTCTGTCCTAGGCACAGAAGTTGAGAAGAACAAGGTAACTTCAGCCTAGTTTGTTCAGAACCATAAGAAAGGTCAAAGCAGAGGGTTAAGCCAGCAAAAGCTGGATTCTAACCAACTTTCCCACAAACAGGAACAACCAGATTTTTTTTGTGAAAGGTCAGAAATGTCAACTTGACACAGCCTAGAGTCACCTGAGAAGGGAGTCTCAACTGGGGCATTACCTATGAAGTGGGCCTTTGGGAGAGTGTTCTGATTATTAATTGATAGAGGAGCACCCGGTCCACTTTGGGAGGTACTATTCCCGATTTAGGTGGTTCTGAGAGGTATCGAAATCTAGATAAGAAGCATAAGCCTGTGAGTAAAGCAACACAATGTGCCTTCATGGTTTCGGCTTTAAGCTCCTCCTTGAGTTCCTGTCCTGACTTCACTCAATGAAGTGCTGGGAACTGGAAAGATAAGCCAAACAAACCGCTTCTTCCTCCAAGTTGCTTTTGGTCAAAATGCTTTATCACAGCAACGGGAAAGAAAGTGGGACAGAAGGGCCAGGGAGATGGCTCAGTCAGGAAAATGTCCAAACGTGAAGAGCTATGTTAGGTCCCCCACACGACGGAAAAGTCAGAGGTGCTGACAGCGTAGGGAAGCAGGGTGGGGGGTGGGGGTGAGGGTGGGGTGGGAGGGGTGGGGTATGGAGGGGAGACAGACGGTGGCTCACTGGCCAGTCAGCTTAACCAGTGAGCTCCAGGTTCAGTGAGAGACCAAAAGAGCAGTAGAGGAAGACGTCAACATTGACCAGTGGCTTCTGCATGTATGTGCACACGTGCACGTGGACGGACACACACACACACACACACACACACACACACACACACACACACAC